TATATATATATATATATGTATAAATCTATTTAAATTATATATTATATATGTGTATTATATATATATATATATATATATATTTACATATATAAATCCATATAAATTATAAAAATTATATTATGAACAGATATAAATTTTAATAGTAGTTTTAAGCATAAAAGTTACAATTTCCTTAAATATGTTAATAATATGGTCGATCAATGGCTGGATATAACAATTTATAAAATAATTATAAATAACTTGATTATAGACAATTTACTTATTATAAAAAATAGAATTAATTACATTTCGATTTTCTCTATAAATTGATATATTGAATTTTACATCATTTGCTCTTGAGAAACAACAAATATATTTTTAAATTTTTATTGAATTATAAAACTGATTACTTATCTGTCCATTTATGCTGTCCATTTCTGCGTGAGTGATATATTTACAAATCACCTATTTGAAATCAGTGTTTTATTAATTTGAAATAATTTTTAAATTAATTTAGAAATTTTTTTTTAATACATCAATTTTTATCAAAACATATATGATATATTAATTATATTGAATGAATGATACATAATGTCTATTTTTGATTTTAAGTTATTAGTTAAATAATTAAACAGTTATTAAATAATTGAATTAATTTAAATCATTATAAATGAAATTTGATCTTTAAATACTAATACAAATTTAAATATATTCACATAAAATATCTTTATTGAATTATTAGTTTGAACATTTATATATATAATTAGTTTCAAGTATTTGATGTTTCTTATAACTGCAATAAGTTATTAAATGTGTTCAATATATGCTAAATATTTAATATCATACAACAGAAAAAAAAATTCTTATAACATAAAGACAATATAAAGTTTTTATAAAATTATTAAATTCATATATATATTTTCTTTTAAAAATTGATACCAGTCACTATAAGATCTCATTTTAAAAAGTACAAACAGAATAAAAACAAAAAGAATAAAAAATTCTATTCAGTTTTTATACAGTGAAATTTGTTCATAATAAAAATATAAGAAACTTCTATTATTGTTCTGTTGTTTTTTTTCCATGAAAACTGTTTATTGTTTTTAATTGTATTGCTATTTGGACAGATTTCACTGTGTCATTATTTGACATAAAAATACTCACCAATAAGTACAAAGTAAAGCTGTCTTGAAATTGCATTATTTAAATTTTATCTGAATAACTTTTTTTATTCTATATAATTTTTTTATTAGAATTGAAGAATGTAAATGAAATTCAAATAATTATTACTATGAGGTATAAAATTCAGATGAAATAGAAATTTTGTTGTAGTTTTATAATAGAATTATAATATTGTACTTGTAATCCAGCGATTTTTAACCTTTTTTACTTCATTACACATAAACAACTAAAATTTTATAATACAAATATAATTTAGTATATTTACAAAAAAATTTAGTATATTTTTTTACTAATAATAAAAACTATACATTTTTTATTAATTTAAAAAAATGATATCTTTTTCTTGTAATAAAATGAAAATAAAATAATTATTTTTTTTATTATTAAGAAAATTTTGTCTAACTTACTTTTAAAAAAATTTTTAAATTTTCATTTATTGATAATTTATAATAAAAATATAATATAATAATCAAGATTATTTAAAACAATAGTTATTTATTAATTTTTTTTTTTGACGTATATATATGAGATATTTTAAAAGATGTTAGACACAACGGTTGAAAATCGCTGCTGCAAGTTAATCACAATGCGATTTTAAAATAAACTAATACTATAATGTTTTACATTCTGATTGAAATTTCGCTTTACAAACTAATTATATCGCAATTCTTATTTTTAGAGAAAATACTGTTATTAAATTTTTTTTCTATTTGATATAAACAAATGAGTGTTTGTCTTATTACTCTTTATTGATTTCATATCCAAATAGAATTTTTGATATAAATTTTTTTTTATAAATAAATTTTAATTTTAAATAAATTTTGATTTTAATGATCAGGATGCAAAGCATATATACAAAAATGACTGATTACAATAAACATGAGTGATTAAATTTGTGAAAAAAGCTATTTTCTCACAGATTTAACGATGAGATTTTTTTTAAATGACTTTGTTATGAAATATAAACAATAAAAAAATAATTAAACAAGCTTTAATGATGTTAAAAAAAATAAAAGAAAATTAATTTGTAGTAGCATAATTAGTTATTTTACTAATTATTATTTACTATTATTAAAAGTGAATAATTTGGATTGACAATGAATTAGATTTTCATGTAAATATATATTAATTTTTATTTTTTTTTTCAAAATCAAGAATTAGAATCCATACTTTTTTTTTCATTACATATTTTACGGAAAGTAATTGAGAAAAATTTCATTCAAATCCGTGAGAAAATATCTTTTTGATGAATTTAAAAGTTAATGCCATATTATATTATTAATATCATACTCATATTATTAAAAAGAAATAAAATTAAAAAATAGATATAAATATAATAAAAGATATTATATAATGTGCCTAAACAAACAAAGAATAGTTCAATCTAATTACAATTAAAGAAATATAAAGTTTAAAAATGAATACTTAGAGTGAAAAATATTTAAAAGATTATACAAATATAAAAATAATATATTTGAAACAAAAAGGGAAAATATATATAATATTAAAATAGAAGGTGCTCAAAAACATATCAAATAAATTTCAAAATCTATGTAAAAAATCCATAAATTAATAAAAAATATTGAAGTTAATAATAGAGAAGAAAATAGGAAACAAAAATATTAACAAACCATTATAAAAGTGCGAAATTTTTAAATGGACCAAACTTAATAAAATAATCTAGCGTTGAAAATTGTGTTTTTATATGTATATAATATAAATCTTAATTATAATGTAAACGCAATTATTGATGCCTTATGAAAATTAAAAATTTTAATTATATTAATCAGATTAAGATTGTATATAATTATGATTTTAAAAAAATTGAGGAGAGGAAGGAAAATGCTTTTTGCTTATCGTATATAAATTTAATATCGTATTATTTTTTAAGACTGATTTTTTTTTGATGTTGAAACTTTTCATGAGAACATACATACATACATATGCATGTGTACAAGCATATATACACACACATACATAAAAAACTTGCACTTTTAATTAATTATAAGTTTCTATGTTTTACATTTTCCGCCACATAATACGAAATTTCTATTATGTGAATCTATGTTACTAAAATTGTATACAAGTTTGTTATGAAATATATTACCATAAAAAATTCATAAAAAAACTGTTTATCTTTGTATGCGAATAGATGTTTAAGTTTCTTCTTTAACAATAAACCAGTGAATTTTTAATAATTGACAAAGTGCTTCAAATTTTCAACAAAAATTCATTTATTTTTTCAGTTGATCTTCATAATATATAATGTATATATTATGATGATAAATATATAATGATGCAATTATAGTCACGAGTAAAATTTTAATTAGATCACGAAGTAATCATTGTAAAAATAAACAACAATATATCATAATTACATAAAAAAAAATTTTAGTATATGACTTTATATCTTAATATATATAATATTCTTTATTTTATATTAATTTATATCTTATAATAATATCAATCAAATTCTTATAATCAAGTATAATATTTTCATACTTCAAATTCGATTACTAATAATTTACGGTTTGATCACTGATTTTCATCATTTTGATGAATCATTTCATTATTCATATTTTGATTTACAGTCTCTTTTTTACTTTATTTTAGTTAAAATATTTTATTATTAGAAATATAATAAAGAGAAGTAGTATAGGAAAAAATTAGAAAAAATAAAAAACAGTTACAGAAAAATAAAAAGAATCAAAAAGAAAAAGAAATTCAAAAATAATAATAAATAAAAAAAAGTAAGAAAAAGATAAGCAAAATCAACAAAACGAGATGAATTACATAATAATAAAAAAAAAAAGAAAGAAGATTATAAAATTAAAAAGAAAGAGATCAGAAAGAAACGAAAGGAATTAAAAAAAGATAATAAAAATCAGATAATCATAAGGAAGATCAAAATATTAGAAGACAAAACTAGATAAAAAAAAATTTTTAAAAATCATAGAGAAATAGAATTAATTGGAAAGAACTAGAGAAAGATAGAGAGAAATAAAGAAATAGAATTATCAATGCATCAATTTTTGTAATTATCAAAAATCTATGTCAGACTATGTCAGATTTCCTAGGTCAGTATGCTTCATTCTGATTATCCCACACTACAATTCTGTATCTCTAATAAGTTTTATTCCAGACTACGCGCACGGAGAGAATAATTATGGGCTTGCGCAGATCGTTCAATGGAGGTGGGGGTAGTTGGCTAAGGAGAAATAAAGCCCCGAGCCCAGCCGGTGAATGCAGCCACGGATTGCGAAATTTTCCTGGTCTGTTTCGTTCTCCCGGTTAATGGTAGAATCTTCATCCGAGTTAATTTGTTTCTTCTTCTAGTGGTAAGCTTTTATAAGCTTTTATATTTATATTTTCACTCTCGATCTCACTGATACATAAAATAAATAAACAAATTTAATAAATTTAATTTAAGATATCGAAATATTTTTTTTTGATTTAACATTTTTCAGAATAATTGGAACATCGACAGCTACTTGCGACGTTTTCCTGGATGCTGAGGCATGCGCCCTAAAAACTTTGGAATTGATGTATTGCAGAGCGCAGGTACAAATGAGACAATTCGCGTGTATATGCAATCATATTCGCATTTTCTATGTGCATGACATTTATATATTTGAAAAAAAATTCTGTTTTGTATTCATTCTTTTATCTTATATTCATTCATAACTTCATTTCTTTTATCTTATATTTTTTATTTATTTATTTATTATTTTTTATAGATCTGCATTTATTACCTGCTGTGGATAGTGACGTTGAGTCTAAAATTTACTTTAGAACAAGAAATTACTACCGCGAAAAATTGGGATTGCTCTGCAGAATGTATTTGTCTTTCTCCGAAACAGGTAAAGATATTTTACAAAATGATATAAAATAGAAAAAGATACAAAATGAAAAATATAATTATATTGTATTTTTAAAAAACAATAAAAATTCCGAATCATAAGAATTAATATTTTAAAAAATTGGTAAAAAAGCTAATTTTATAAAAAAAAATAATTTTAATTAGAAACTTTACAGAACTATATAGTATATACAATATTCATATGCTTATTTTGTATATAAATATTTTAATACAATTTTAAAAAATTAATTATGTAAAAAATAAATTAATTATTATATTAATTAAAAAATTAATAATTAAATATGGATTAATTAAATAGTTGAAATTCTAAAAAAAAAGAATTATGAAAAATTAATTAGTTACATAAATAAGATATAATTATATAATAATTTATCAATGAAGATTTTTTTTTATATTTTTTTTTATTTTTTTAATAACAAAAATTTTTTTATTAAACTAAATCAATTTTACAGGTTCTTTGCAATACAGGTGGGCTAAAAGATATTCCCACCCACCAGTTACCTCAAACAATAGAGGAACTTTCCTTAACAAAGAACAATTTTCCAATAATAAAAGGAGATGCATTTGCTGGCTTAAAACTATTACGGAAACTAACGATGGATGGTAATAATATATCGACAATACGTCCGTTCGCATTTCGAGGTTTAAATAAATTGCGCGAACTTTCTATTCAGCATACACCTTTACCATTCATCGAAAAATTTTCGTTCGCAACTTTACAAAACGTATCAGTATTATTATTGGCAAATAATAAAATTCGATATATCGAGGGTTATTCATTCGCCGGTACATCCAACATTCGTGTAATACTATTGAGTAATAACCCATTACTCAGAATCCAGAGTCATGCATTTTCAGGTGTAACAAATATAGTTCGCTTAATATTTCCGTCAGGAATAAGAACTATTGAACCAGATGCATTTGATGGCTTACAACATGTTGGACTTTTAAAATTAACTTATATGGACTTATCTTCCCTGCAATCTTACACGTTCCGTGGCTTATCCTATGTGCATTCATTGAATATTCAGGAAAGTGACTTGGGCATCGTTGAGAAGGACGCCTTCACTGGACTTGCTCATGTTGATAGACTGAATATATTAAATAACAAAATCGATCTAATCGAAAAATTATTTCTACGATATGAAAATAATATAGAGATGCTGAGATTTCATGGAAATCATGTTTTGGAGGCACCTCGTCATGCCAAAGACATTAATTTAGAAGTGAGCTCTATTAGCGCTATCGATAACCATTTTCCTTGTGATTGTCAGGCTCATAATGTATTGGAAAGCGATTTTGTCAATGGAACTATTACTGAATTTCAGAAAAAGAATTATTGTATCTCTCCAATTGAATACAATGGAAAACCGATGAATTTTGTAGATTTTGGTCTAATTGCCAAATGTCATGATAATGTCGTCCAAGATAATCTAGGTTCTGGAGTTGTTGGAATTTTTACACTGCCAATCACTTTATTCCTTATTCTTTTGTTCTCCATGAATTTCTTCCAGTAAATTAAGATCAGCTTTATAAAATTCAGATGCATATTGTTGAAATATAGTTAATTGATGGGAACAGTTTTAGCTATTTTATGATTTAGTTCAAGAATTAAAATTTAAAACCATATTATTAATTTGTTATTTTTATAAATTGTCGAATTTAAAAACAACAATTAATTTCTTGAAATTATTAATCTCTTCGATAAAATTATTGATTTTAGCTCAATATTCGTTAAATATTAATTATTAACAAATAATTATTAATAACTGACATATCGAAGAGATTAGTAATATTTAATATATTTGATATAATACACATTCTAATAATATTTTTCAATGCTTGAAAATTTTTAATACATTTTTTTTTTTTTACTTTAAATTATTTTCATATATATAATATAAAACATTGACATAATATAATTTAAAATTTTTTCAATCTTATTTTATATAAAACAAAGTAATGACTATAATAATAGCAATTTTAATATTAATGTTTAATATTGTTGCACTTCTATCATATGAAATCATTATCAAGAACTTTTTCCATTTGATTATTATACTCGTACAATTTTAAACATACTGAGCTTTAACTAGCTCATATATCTGAGCTAGCAAAATTGCATTAATTTCAAATTTATTCTATAAATTATAGAAGCGAATTCACAAATAAATGATTTATTCATTAAATTATTTTTAACTTATCCCTTAAATTATTTTTAATCTAATCTGAAGATTTATTACAAAAGCATCTTTAAAAAATATATTTTCAACAATTTTAATTGTAGATTATTTTTTTTTAAATTTAAATCAATATCAATTTTAATTTTTTACAATTTTTAATTTCATTTACATATGTACAAGAAATTATTTTCTTAACTGTTTTTGAAATATTTGTTAATATTAAGATAATATATATAATATATTTATTTTGAATATGTTAATTATATTAAAGAAATTTTGTTAAATATTTTATATGATATAATTTTTTATTATATCTTTGATTGTGTAAAAACAACCAGAATTAAATAATTTATATCAACGATAATGAAAGTATATAGAGAATAAGAATATAAATAATCAATTTATGTAAAAATTTTTTGGCAAAAAATTTGCATCATTTTGAAAGGAATAAATATAATAGCGTTATGTTCTTTTTTTACAAAAATTTAATTCTTATTGCAAGAATATTTCTTTTAAATTTGTAGATTTTATTTATTTGATTATAAATGTCTTTTTTCACAAAATTTTTTTATTATTATTAATTTTAAGGAATTAAATAAAAACATTTCAAATCTCTGAACATTTTTATATAGTCTTTTTTATGTAAAAAAGATTACTCTAATAAAAAAAAATCTAATTTTATCATTTTATGATTTAAATATTTTTATGTAATATTTTTGTTAATATTATTCAAATTTTTAAATCATATAAGTATTAATACATTTTTTATCGAAGTTTTAATTAGTCAAAAAAAACCTGTATGTATTTAAGTATAACGGAAAAAAAAAGAAAAAAGTTGTTTAAATGTAAAATTTGCATGGCTTTCGGTCAACATACTAACCGAGGACCAAACTAGCATATATTTTTTACCAACATCTATTATATAACGAAAATAAACTCTGTAACTTTTTCTTATAGTTAGAATAATCTGTATATTAATAAATAATAAAATGATGTATCATTTAATAAATAATAAAAAAAATTAACAATAATGTTTATTATATGAAAACAATAATAAGATAAATATTTTAATGTAAATGATATAAAAAATCGAAATAATTTTATATTTGCTCTTTATTTAAATCACAAAATTAATTTTTTATAAACTATAAATGTATACTTCATTTTGGTATAGACTTCACATTAGGTGGGATTATTCTTTGTAAATTTTCTATTTCCATCTTATATTGTAGATATGGAATAATTTCCCATTCTATTCGAGTTTGTAAATCAATTGGTGTTATTCCTAAATCTTCCAAAGTTGGTAAAGCAGAATCTATCTTATCACTGATATGATGCTAAATGAAATTTAATGAATATAATTTTTATTTCTAAAATCAATGTATGATGTATGATTTAAATCAATTAAAAACTCCAAGTATACTTACACATTCTAATACTTCCCATAACATGTCTGTTGTAGGATATATTGCATATAGATATTCTCTAAAAGAAGTTTTTAACCAAGTATATAGATTATATTTCATGTCAACTATCTTTATGTTGTTTTCAAAATATTTGAATTTTATATCCAACATCCATTTAATTAACTCGTTTAATTTGTACCGTTTTGGTCTAAAATAAATATTTTTAATCTTTATCTTATATATATAAAAAGTTTTAATAACATAACAATGTACAATACATACCCAACAAATTGGTAAGTTTTTCCGGCAGTATCAGAATTTCTTATGATTGCTACAATACCTGAAATTACATCATGAATAGATACTGGTTGTTTCTCAGTTTTTTCTCCTTTATCCCATAAAGATAATCTATTGTAAAAAATGAACACATCATTACAATATTGTGATTTTTATATAACTTATATTATATAACTTATAAATAATTATGAAAAATTATTAAATGTACTTATTAAAGTTTAGTCTGTTCTGATCCATATAATGACTTATAAATTTATCCTTGTGTCCATATATAACTGATGGTCGAATTATAGTAGCTTCTGGAAATTCTTCTTTCACAGCAAGTTCCCCTTTCCATTTTGTTTTTAATATCTTTGAACTTTCTTTCAATATAATTGGCTTAAAAAAGAAAATAAGATTTACATCATCATTAAGTTGTTATTTTAAATAATATATTAAATCATAAAATTAGATATTAAAATTTATATAATAAATTCATAAATTATAAAAAGTACTCAAAATTTTAATAAAAAACAAAACAATTTAAAAAAATATATATAATTCTAAATATTATTTAATTAATGATCTTGATAAATTTTTTCTATTAATTATATAAGATAATTACTGTAGGTTTTTCTTCTACATTCAAACATGACATATGAATGAAACGTTCCACATTACATTGCTTAGCAAGTTTGGCTAATGTTCTTGCTCCTTCTACATGTACATCCTCAAAACTGAAGTTTCTTGTCTCATAATTTGAACCAATTAAGTTAATAACAACATTAGAATATTTTATAGTTCTGATTATGGATTCCTCATCTCTAAGATCAAATGGATGGTAAAGAACTTGTCCAAGATCTCCACCCACTTTTAATTCTCGAATATGATAATGATCGCATCTATGTGGAAGAATAAGCTATAAGAAAATATTTAGCATAAATATAAGTTCAATCTATAATTCAGAATATTAATAATATTTATATCTTGCCTGAGTTCCAATTTTTCCTAATCTAATACATAATGAAGATCCAATAAAACCACTACATCCAAATACTGTGCAAACTATGCCATTAAATGAGCTACGACCACCAGTACCTCTTTTTAAGCTGGCTGTAGTAGGATTTTTAATAATTCTTGGTTCTGATGAGTAATTATTTTGTATCGCATAACTGGCAGAATATATATTTTGATTTTCTGTATATTAATTCAGTAATTAATTTAAATCAATATTGTTACATAATTAATAAATATAGATATATTTATAATATATATTATAAATTAATAATTTATATTTTAGCATTGCAACAAGTATACTATTATTATCGAAATATCATCGTGAAATAAAATAATAAACAATTGAAATTAATAAACTTACTTATCGTACGAATGACTTTAGGAATCCAAGCCGCCATGTTTGTCATTTGTTATCTTGTAAATATATATATATTTGTTTTTATATAGGTTAACTTATATAGGTTAATAAATATTTTTGAATAAAAAATATTGTAAATATTTCATTATTAATTATCCATAAATATTTCAAAATTAAAAAGTGCAACAAAAATATTATATTTTAAA